ATGGTGTCTCCTGGCCATTGCTTTGTGAGCTCTTGAAGATTATGTGCTGTTCATTTCTGGCTTTCTGTCTCAATACATTTCCTGACCCCTGTGCTGTGCTGTGTGAATTCTGACTGTGGTTTGATGAAGGATTAGTCATTTGCAAACCATGTGAAGTGTTTTCAAGATTCTCAATGAGTATCAATGTTCAGCTGCTAATATTCTCACCTCTGAGTCCGAAGGCTCTAGACTGAAGTTTCACTTGAGAGACCTGAATACACGTTTATAGAAAGGGGGGGGTCAGAAGAAAAATACTCAGCTTCTCGAATCATTCGTGTGGAATCCTGGTGAGTCTGTGACCTAACTTGTTTACGTGCAAATTGTCAGCAGTGTTTCCTATATCACAACAGTGACATTGCTTGAAAAAATTCTTCACTGGCTGTGGAGCCCATGGACACTTCCTGTTGTATTTCCTGACATCTGTGTTTTACTTGTTCTCCCCACACAGTAGAATAATAGAGGGTCCCAGCTTAGCTATACAGTTCACTTTAGACATGTCACTGCCAATTTGGAATTAAAGTTCCTGTTTGGTGAAATTAAATAATTCTTTTCACTGATATTGGTGAAGGAATAATTATTAGCCAAGACACTGGAGAGAATTCTCCTGCTTTTCTTTGTCCACCTGAGAAAGGAGACAGGCTCTCAGCTAAAGACAGAGAGCTGTATCTGAGGGCTATAACTCGGGGGAGAGTTGGGAAATGTCAGCTGACAAAGGAAAGGTGATGATAATCACAGTGCAACAGGACAAGACAGAATGTACAAAGGAAAAAGACACAGCAGTGAATAGGTTCAAAAGGGGAAGGATGGTAAAAAGGCAGCATTAATATGACTTTTACGTATGCATAGTATTTGAAACAAAATAAATGAACTAATGGTGCAAATACAGGTTAACAGGCAAGATCTTACAGACAGTATAGGCATGTGGTTACAGGAGATCAAAGCTGGGAGGTAAATATTCAGGGCTGTGATTTTTCCAAAGGCCGGCCGGAAGGAAAGGGGTGTGGTGTAGCTTTGTTAGTATGGAAAGGAATTAGTACGATAGCAAGAAATGGTCTTGGATTGGAAGATGAAGAATCCATGCGGTGGAGGTAATAAATAAAAAGGAAGAAGGCATTGGTAGGCGTTGCCTATTGATGCCTAACAGCAGAGATTAAGCATGAAATAATGAGGACATGTAATAAAGGCAGTGCATTAAGCATGGTTGATTTTAATATTCATACAGTTGAGAAAATCAAATTGGCAGAGATAGCCATGAGGAGAAATTCATTGAAATGTATTCAGGGCACATTTCCAGAAAAGTATGTTGTGTATCCAATCGTGGATCAGGCTGATTTGGATTTGGTGATGTATACTGAGACAAGTTTATTAAGTGATCTTAAAGTAAAAGATCTGCTAGGAAGTAGTGATGAAAGCATGTTTGAATTTAACATTCAGTTTGAGAGCGAGAAACTTGGATTGGCAACAATTGTGCTAAACTTTAATCAGCGTAATAATGAAGGAATGAGGGCAGAATTAGCTGGAGTGGGCTAGGAAAGGAGTTTCATAGCAAGGACACTGGAGGAGCAATGACAGACGTTAAATGACTCAGAAGAAAGATATGTGCCAGTAAGGGTATTAGAGGAAGTAACTACAGAAATATTGGATGCACTGATAGGAACCTTCCAGGAATGCTTGGATTCTGGAAAAGTCCCAGAGCATTGAAAATGGCCGATGTAACACCTTTATTCAAAAAGGGAAGGAAACAAAATGCAGGTAATTACCAGCCAGTTCGTTTAACATCTGTCATGGACAAAGTTTTTGAATCTATTATGAAGGATGTAATAACTGAGCACTTAGAAGTATATAATCTGATCAAACTAAGTCAGCATGGCTTCATGAAGGGGGTATCATGCCTAATAAATTTAATAGAATTCTTTGAGGAGATAACGAGCAGGAGAGATGAAGGGGAAATTGCTGAAGTCAATATTTTGGGTTTTGAAAAGTGTATTAATCACAATAAATCATGAAACGCGTTCACCCAAGTTCACTGGGTAATAGGGAAGGCAAATGGAATATTGGCTTGTATTTCAAAAGGAATGGAAGGATAAAAATAGGGAGATTTTGCTAAAACTATGCAAGGCACTAGTCAGGCCCCAGCTGGAATACAGTGAGCAGTTTTAGCCTCTTATTTAAGGAAAGATGCCCTGGCATTGGAAGCAGCCCAAGAAGGTTCTGATACCAGGGATGGAATGATTTTCTTATGAGGACAGGTTGAGTAGGTTGGGCCTGTACTCATTGAAGTTCAGAGAATGTGGTGACCTTAATGAAAGATACAAGTTTGTTTGAGGTCTGGACAGGGGACGTGAGGAGAGGTTGTTTCCCCTTGTGGGACAGTCTAGGACTAGAGAGTATTATCTCAGAATAAAGGGATTGCACATTAGAGACAGAGGTGAGGAGGAATTTCATCTCCTGAGGGTAGGGAATTTTTTTTGTCCCATTCATTCATGGGATGTGTTATTCACTGGCAGGTCAGTATTTATTACCCATCCCTAATTGGACAGGGGGCTGTTAAGAATCAACCACATTGCTGTGGGCCTGGAGTCACATGTAGGCCAGACCAGGTAAGGATGGCAGTTTCCTTCCCTAAAGGGCATTAGTGAACTAATGAGTTTTTCCAACAACCAACAGCAGTTTCATGGTCATCATTAGATGGTCAATCCCGGATATTTTATTGAATTCAGATTTCACCATCTGATATGTCGGGATTTGAACCTGGGATCCTGGGTCGCTGGATTTATAGTCCACTGATAATACCACTACCATCACCTTCCCAGGTGTGGAAATCATTACCTCAGAGGGCTTTCAAGGTTGGATCATTAAATATATTGAAAACCAAAATGGATTTTTAATCAGTAAATGGAAATGTCAGGAAAGTGGAGGTGAGGGCTATCAGATCAGCCACGATCTCATTGAATGGCAGAGCAGACTAGATGGATTGAATAGTGTACTCTGTTCTTGTACCTATGATGTGGCTATTCATCTTTCTACCTCCAGTGTGGCTGTTCTGGCTAGAAACCAAAGAACTGCAGATGCTGACAATGTGATCTGCTCTACATTGGGGAGACAAACTGCAGACTGGGTGACCGCTTCGCAGAACACCTATGTTCCATCCACATAAATGACCTCGAGCTTCCTGTTGACTGCCACTTTAACACACCATCCTGTTCCCTGGCCAACATCTCTGTCTCAGGCTTGCTGCAGTGAAGCTCAGCGCAAGCTGGAAGAACAACACCTCATTTTCCGCGTTGGGACCCTGAATTCAATATTGAATTTGATTTTAGGGCACTACTGTCTTCTCCCATCCCCTTACCCTACCCCACACGTCAGGACTTGTCATCACATGGGCTGTTACCACAAACGATCTATTGTTAGCCACTAACAGTGCCCATTAGCAGCTATCCATTCTCCCAGGCTGACCTTTACCCGCTCTTTTATCTTTCCAACTGTTTTTCTCTCTCTCTGGGCTCCATCCCCACCCCCACCACTGACAGCATAAATGCTAAGCTTTACTACAATCAGTTCTGACAAAGGGTCACTGGATCTGAAATGTTAACTCTGCTTTCTCTCCACGAATGCTGCCTAAACTGCTGAGTTTCTCCAGCAGTTTTCTGTCCTTGCATTTCTATCATGTTTTTCATGACCACAGGATGTGTGAAAGCACTTTGCTGCCAATGGTGGTGTTAGTGTAGTTGATGTTGTAATGTATAAAGTAGAAAACTCTAACTGCACAGGCTATTTCCAGTTGATGTTGTCCCATTGTTGGATGTTCTTTTGAATTCTTTTTGTCTGGCTGCTCAATTACTGAATGAAATCATCATGTTGGAGCTAAATAAAAACCGAAAGAACTGCGAATGTTGTAAATCGGGAGCAAAAGCAGAAGTTGCTGGAAAAACTCAGCAGGTCTGGCAGCATCTGTGAAGAAAAAATCAGAGTTAATATTTCAGGTCCAATGACCCTTCCTCATTTCTCCGGAAAGGTCACCGGACCCGAAATGTTAACTCTGATTTTTTTCTTCTCAGATGCTGCCAGACCTGCTGAGCTTTTCCAGCAACTTTGTTTTTGTTCATCATGTTGTAGACTGTGAAACAGTCTGACAGTCATTTTGTCAGTAGCTGAATGTCAGGCTGAGCTCTCAGAATGTGTTTAATTCTGTAAATATTCTTAGAACAGCTTGTGTATGTCTGGTGTCCCTCGCTGAATCTCTCAAGTAATAATGTGGAATTTTAAAATTAAGCTTTCCTTCTGCACACAGACCTTTCTAACTGTGTCGGGTCGTGGAAAAGAAGTGGAGAAGGAATATTCCACAATTTGTTTATCTTGTAGAAAGGTGTCAGTAGTCCCAAACTCTCAGTGCCAGGCCAGCAAGCTGATCACTTCTCGGGCTAGTCAGAACGTAAGCGCTGGTTAGATATTGTCTGTCTGCACTGCTGGATTTATAAAGCAGCCTGCTGCTTCAATTGAGAAGCATATCACCTCAGCAGTCAGTAAAGGTAGTCACTTGATCAGGAGTGTAATATTTTGCAGTTGCTCAGGTCACAGCTGTTGGGGTTTGCACCTGAAGCCTCTTGTGCCACATGTTACGTTTCACTTTGAAATACTATTTCAGAAGAGGATAGATGTAACCTGTCATTATAGGCTGCAGCACAGTGAGTATCTGCGCCAGCATGACAAACTGAATTTCAGCTGCCAACTCATGTTAACCTACAAGGACATGTGCAATTGTTTGAGGCTTGAATCTAAAGGGCAACATTTTGCAGAGATTGAATAGAATGCTTAGTTTTGAGGAAAGAATAAAATCTCGTTGTGGCATTTGCAGTTGAAAACACATTAAATTTTGTACTTGAAACTGAAATGAATACTGATCTTTAGACTGTGCATATGTAGCCACATTAATATGTTATGAATGTCTTTCCTCCTTGCAGGTTGTACAGAATATTTTGGACAATGAACGAGACTATGCAAAGGAGCTACAGGTCTTGCTCAACACATACCTGCGGTCATTGCAGGCCAATGACAAGTTAGTATCTAAACCTGCACACTAGTCTGTTAACATTCTTATTGAGCTACCATTTTCAGATCAAAGCTCATATTATTCACATGGTTCTCTGGGTTTTGTACTTGTTACTGGTCATGGGAATATCATGAAAATAGTGAAAATGTGAAAATAGATAAGTCCCCTGGGCCGGATGGGATTTATCCTAGGATTCTCTGGGAAGCTAGAGAGGAGATTGCAGAGCCTTTGGCTTTGATCTTTATGTCGTCATTGTCTTCAGGAATAGTGCCAGAAGACTGGAGACTA